CGGCCGCGGCGACTGCGACTGTGACGGCGCGGAGGCAGTGACCTCGATCTCGTCGTGACTGGCAAATGTGTACGTGTGCATAACCGGCGAGGCGCCCGCCTCGACGTCCGGCCGGCCGGTCAGTCGGCGACTGCACGAGTTAATGCTGTGTTAATACGCGTGCGCGCTTTAGCTCAAGTAACGTAACGTGCATGTTAATCGCTCTGCTGTCATACGATTCCGTTTCGTAGTACGCTACCGGACCCTTTTCGTCCACAGCCACCTTCATTTTCATCACCATATCGTCACCATTTGTTGCTACTTCGATCAATTTTTTGGCTTATATATTATAGCCAAAATTTGATTTGGTAACTTCTCTACTTTCTAGCCATCTTACTTTATATTCATACCTAAAGGCTAAGGTCCTGTTTCGATTCCATGTCTAAAGTTTAGTTGTGAACTTTAGATCGACTTTTGTGGTTTAATGAATTAAAGATTTTTTTTAAGGTTGACTAAACTTTAGATACAACTTTAGACAACCTTTTTAAGCCTCAAGAGAGATAAAGTGGTGTAAAATTTTGTTGTTAAAGTTTAGACCATGTGATTCAAACATGTCTTAAACTTGTCGGCATGCGATCATCGGTTTGTTTTGTTTTTAAAATTTTTAACTATTAAGATGATAGTGTTTTGTTCTATTATAATATATAGGTCCACATAAAGGGTTTATTCTCCTAATTGCTCAACTCTGTAATCGGTCACCTTCACCTCCCTAAGAAGAGCACGCGATCCCTATTTTGTGTATGCAATCATCACTGAATATGCGTGATTCGCTACTTCTCTTTTATTGCTTCATTACCGCACCGTAGCATGGTGTACAAACGTTTCCAACTTTTTGGTGGTTGTTGCACATTCGTTCTTTTTCGCGCACTTTGTCACCCATTTGATTGTACCCATCTGTACATTGTACTGGTACCTCCTAAAGACTCGAGATATGACTTTGTCGAGCCAGATGGACAGTGGTCACTGAGTACAGAGGCGGAAGAACCTGACTGAAAGACTTGTCGAGCAAAAGCAAAAGTCAGCATGTTTTCTTTTTCTGTGATACCTCCTAGATTATAGATTGTTTTGGCTTTTGCAGCTAGCTTTTACTATGCATCTAGATATACGATATGTCAGATATATAATAAAAGTTATGTATTTGGAAATGCCAAAACGAAATAGCGCAATCGAAGAACCTTTGAAGAATCGACGCGATCGCCACTACATGTGTTGAGCCTAATCAAAGAAGAAATTGGACTCGCCACAAGAGCTACTGGGTGTCCTGTTCTACCCAATGATTTTACTTTGTTTTCTGTGCCTGTGTTTGTGTGTATCTTCTTATATGTAATTTCGATTTGTAAAACATCGAATTGCTCTTCTTCTTATATGATATAGCAGCACTCTTGCTAATTTTTCAAAAAAAAAAGAATAGAGGGAGTGAATTTTAACTTTGTTTTTAGAGATGCAATAACTGCTAGGCATTGGAAGAGCCCTAAAGAGGTTCCTACTGAAGCTCCCCTTAAAAAAAAGAGCCTTAGCATTCATACCACCATTTAGCCTTGGCATTCATGCTCCTACTTTCAAGGCTAATGGTGATTTTATCCTCATTTTTCAACTTTGTATTTTTGCCCTTACAATTTGAAACCGAAGCCAGACTTTGCCCCTATTCTGTTAAGTCATTGTAACGGTGTTAATTTTAAGATAAAATGACAATTTTACTCATGCGAATTTGCCCTTGTTTTTTAGTTCTTTATTTACCATTTTACCCCTGTTTTGGATCAAATATTTAGACATTTTTTGCAGAGATGACAAAGGGTTTTGGCAACAAATTTAACACAAGTAGCTACATCATTTAAATCTATGTAAACCAGCAAGTTCTGCAAAAAAAAATTTTGATAGCATTAATGCCAAAATATTAATATATACAATTTCAATTATCATGCAACTTTCATATATTTAATGGTCTTTAATCATGAACAAGTATGCTCCCTCCATTTCAAACTATAATATATTTTGTCTTTTCTAGATACATAGCTTTTGCTATGCATTTAAATATATACTGTGTCTAAATACTTAGTAAAATAAATGTATATAGAAATACCAAAACGTCTTATAATTTAGAAGAAAGGGGCTAAACCAGTAGTAAACATCACGTTCAAGCATCTAATAACCCTAACAAACTAGAAAGCCTCCTAGCTCCACCAATGAAAGATGATACAAAAAAAAAACTCGGCCGCGGGGTTAAGACAGCCCTCGAGCATTGAGCTTAAGAAGAAGACATTCTCACACAGGTCGAAAAAACCCACGAACCTCTGTCCCACCCATATATAGCGGCACCATAGCTCTTGTGAAACTGAGCTGGTCTTAGACCTGTGCTTTGACGTGGGACAGACGAGGGGATTTTTTTTTTCAACGTGCAGATAAACTGCGCCTCCTCCGACCAACAAATTCGCTCCCGAGGGGGTTCAGCCAAACCAACTGGTAAGCGTTGTTTTGCATGAATGATGTACATAATCGTCCCTCATTCGCCTCGTGGTTGCACTTCAGCGCAGCAGCATAAGAAATCCTCCTGGAGGGACCAAAACTATTTGTTGTAAGATCTTCCAGAAGAATATGAGCAATTGATTCAGCAAAAGGACAGTTCTAGAACAACACAGTAAACAACTAGTGTCCCTCGTTGAATTTTCAAATGCAAATTGGGCAGATGGTCGATGATTCCACTTGGGAGGATGAGCACACAAGATTACACGTATTGAGGCTGTAAAAGCGGACATGATGCCGGGCATTCTCCATCAGCACCTGCACGCAGCCGGGCAGCCCTGCCTGGAGGCTGGAGGCGAGGTGCGGCTGGCGTGGCGCCGTGGTCGTCCTTGATGTTGACGATCAGGGGAGACTCCAGACCAGCTGGAAGTGTGATCCAGTTGAGTCAACGTACAACACAAAGCATATGTTGTACCGAGGTAAAAGATTTAACTGATGTACATGGCTATAATGAAGGTACAAGTCAGCATACACGTCCAGCTTCAATAGCATATTGGAGCCAATAATTGAGAATAATAATCAGCCATTCATGGTAGAGAGGCTAATGATGCAAAGGAGCAAATTCATTTGTCAAGAAAAATGAGAATTTGATAGTGATTTGACCCTTAGATGTCTCAAATGTTTATAATTTTCTCTATAATTTAGGTTAAACTTAAAATTGAAGTGACTTAGTTTGAAACAGAGGGTGTATAATTTTTAGTTGACCGTAAAAAAAAAGAAAGCTAATCCGCACCGCAGAACACAAATTACCTAGTGGGGCCTCCTGTGCCCATAAATTTTGCAGAAATGGTTTTGAAAAAGCACCCCAGAGCAGCGTAGAAGAATATTACACATTCACACCAAACGAAACTCATTTCAATATTTTAGATGTGACAGACGAACATGAGGCAAACAAGTGTAAAATATGGCTATATGAATTTGAAAATACTGCAGTCAGACATCGATGGCACGGGGCAAAATAAGCTCTGCTGCTGGCATAACATTACGGCAATAGTTCATCAGTCTGGCAACAAATTTTTTTGGCAGAATTTCCACAGGTTCAGTACATGAACAATCTAAGTTGCCAACACATGGCATTTTAAGCTCAGAGAACAGTAAGTAAGCATGGCCATTCCTAGTCCATCTGTACTCCAACAAAACCTGCAGACATATAAGCGGAGAATAGCATAAGCAAAGGCCTTGCAGGCTATGTATATGGAATTTTTGAAAGGTTAAGCATTGGATCAAGCTACGAGTTCAAACTTGGGGTTGGGACTTGGGAGCCCCATGCCCAACGTTCTAAACAGGACACCGTATGTTTACAACCATTCTATTGTATCAAAAAGGCAATAAACATTCCCTAAATATCAGTGCTTGGACAGAAATATCATTTACACTTCTATGACAAGAAAAGATGCCCAATATAAATATAAATGAAAAATAAAAAATAAAAACTGAGTCTAAAGTGCTCAAAATAGGCATCACTATATCCAATACATGGTGACAGCGCAATTAAGAACTGATGCAAAACAGCATTGATGAGCTCCAATGCAAATAAACTTATATAATCTGCAGTTTTGTCTCTCTTATAATATTGATTGATGAGGAGTGTGTCATTTCCTTTCCTACTAAAAATACCTACATTTGTGAACAGAGGGAGTATTACTGAAAACTAATGAAATTAAATAATGTATATTCCATGTGTAGTTGGTACCATTGAGACATGAAAAAGAACAGTGACAAGTTTTAACTTGATGATATTCACTAAGGGGCCGTTTGGATCCCTTCATTTTGGAGGAATTGAATTCTACTTAATGGATTAGGCTATTTGGCTTGGAATTTGACATTCCATAACTTTCCCAAGCTCACAAATAAGCCTAACTCAAATTCATAGTGTGGGAGATGGAAATGGATTCTATAGATTATTATGCTATAATTCTACTCTCCAACTTATAGCACACTATTCAACTCACTTCCTTACAATAAAAATGCAACATATAAGTATGTCTCTTATATGCCTAACAATAAATATACAAATATATTTCATATATAACTATATTAGCTTAATTAATCTATGTCTAAATTATATTTATTAGAATGAATTCAATTCCAATGATCCAAACGGGCCCTAAGTGAATTACTCCCTCAGTCAGCTATAAACTTACCGAATTCAAGCCAGCATCAACATGAGCACACCAAACCACAAAAGCCAGATTACCATGATTCTCAGCTGAATAGACACTGTTTGCTGCTACACAGACTCAATGTGCCTCCTAATAAACAACCATAACCACAAACTACGATGCGTTTAATAACCACCTAAAAGTCCTAGCATCTGATCTACAGCAATGTCGAGTGCAGTCTAAGCAGAATTCATTGTCATATCATTCAATCACAAACAAAAAATTCAAGATCAACCAGCCAAACAAATAGAGAATATCAGATGTTTGTGTATCCCAACCTTAGATGCTGCTCGGGTACATGAACACTCTGACCTTGCGCCCCTGCACTCAAATAAAAACAGCATCAGGACAGAGCACCAATTGGGAAGCAACACATCACACAGATCAGAGGGTGCGTCACTGACCATGGACTCAGGCGGGAGGTTGGACTTGAACTTGGCGCGGACGACGCCGGAGTTGCCGTGCGGGCGGGTAACCTTGCCCCAGATGCACCTGTAGCGGGTCTCACTGCTCTTGGTCTTGGCCTTGTAGATGTACGCCATGCGCTTGCCAGCGTACCACGCGACGTCCTCCTTGGTGTTCACCCCCTCGATCTGCACGAGCGACGTGGTCTCGTACTGGTTCGACTTGGACCTGCACAGCCACCACCGTTAGCGGAATCGAACCGAGAAATGACCAGATTCAAGTAACACAGACGGAGAAGAAGAGGCGGCGCGGATCTCACCTCTTGTATCCGAGGATGGTGCCCCGGACGTAGAGCCTGACGCGCTGTCCCGTGCGTCCCTTCACCATGGTTGCCGCCTGCTTCCTTCCGCTTACGCTTCCGCCGCCGGAGACGACAGAGAGGTCGTGCTGGTTTATATGTAGCAGCGGACGGAGAGAAGAGCGGTCTCGATTGGCTCGCAGATTCCAACGAACGGTCGTGATGTTCCAAAGGGCTGTCTGGAGAAAGCTAGGGTTTAAGGTCGCGAGGTTAAATGGGCTTCTTCGATTCTTTAGTCTTTCCATCTGCGCCAAGATGGGCCGGTCTGGCAACATGACGGGCCTAATTGCAAACAGGTCAACATCCTTCTCCTTTTTTTTAATATCCTTTTCTTTTATTTTCTATAATTGGAAAATAAAGGGAAATACCCTACAAAAGGACAACAGGAATTGTAATGGAGCAAAAGGAATTAAGTGATTCTGAGGAAGATAGCCAGCATGTTGAGTTTGAATGTGAGTGAATGGATGATTCTAAAGAGGAGCAAGTTCAGGCTCTAGGAGCCTCTCCAATTCAAAATAAGGTGATGTTTGTAGATACACCTGTTAAGTATTATAACGTTCATGATCCTAGTATAGCATTGTATTATGTTTTTTTCTAAAAAAATGCATCGCATTGGAAAAGATGTTCTACATTTTTGTTATTGTTGTGTTCCGCTTTAACATGCCAGGAAAATAAATGTACATGATTAGTTTTGCTTTCCTGGTTATACTTAATTTTTCAGAAACTTTCTTCTTTGTTCATTGCTCTTTTATATTAATTTTCTCTTTTTATTCTGGGATATGTTTAATTATTTCTTGTTTAGGGTATCTCAATATCGGTTGCTATTAGGATAAAAACCAAGAACAATATGCATGTCTGATGTATGTATAGATGTATTCATATTAGTGGGCTTTAACTGTATTATTGTGCCACAATGTTGAGACATGTTGATTTTTAATTAGTAATATTCCATCTGTTTTAATTCATAAGTTGTTTCAATAACTTTTCTAAACACATACTTTCTCGATTCTAAATTATATAAGATGTTTTGAATTTTCTAACCATATTATTTTTATGGGTTATTTGGATTGGTGCCATTACAATTCTCAGAGTTTGGAGATTTACCATTACAATTCGCTTATTGTAAAATATACCATTATAATTTCATCTTTCACTGATTGATGCCATTATCTACGTCTTCCAGCTACTTTGACCCACTTGCAGGCGTATGCGTACTGTACGCTTTTCCGTATGGACATATTTGCCCCCGTCCCAAATGTGATAGAGGCCTATGCCCTGGCCCCAGCTCTCACTCTCCTCTCCATCTCATTCACTTTGTCTCTCATTCTGTCTTCTTCCCGACGGCTCCCGTGGCAGCGGAACCCTAACCCTAGCCACCGACGACCTAGAGCTCCCGCCCGCGCTCTCCTCCCTTGGTCGCCCCCACGCTCCCCTCCCGGATGGTGTTCCGTTGAGCGCAATGGCGGATCCCGCGGACATGGAGCACGTCGAGGAGAGGTATGGTTGTTCGAGCTTGCTCCAAACCCGTCTTGAATCTCTTGCATTTGAGTACTGATGCGAGTAGGTTGTGAAATTGCGCTGACCCTAGTATTTTTCTTTGAAAATTGTTGATTGCTGCTAGGACTCGGTTGTTCTCCTTAGGGATAAAAGTTGAAGGTTTTTGTACTACAGACAGTAATGGTAGAAAAGCTTACACTAAGGGTAGTGTGATTAAATGGGATGTGGAGGTAGGCTCATTCTCTTTTGAGTTGCTGATGCAAAGCTTGACCAATGAGTTCAAATGGTCACCTAGCCAGAGTCCATGCTTGTGGTTCTTTGACAAAAGGATGTGTGAAAACGTTAGACTCATTAATGACTTTTAGATGAGTGATTTGTTTGAAATGTATAAGGACTAGATGCATTGCCAAGTTGTTGTAGGAGTTTATGAAAGCACATTTGCAGATGTTGATGAGTTTGCTTCTCTAGAGCCTCTTTGTGTGATTCCTCCTAAATCCAACCAAGATCCAGATCTCAATCCTATTAATCCCCCTACTATTGAGCCAGCTGTAAGCCTTGGTACCAATCCTACTCTTCGAGCCAAAGAAGGACCGTAGTATCCTTCGAGCCTAAACTAGAGCTTGACAGGCAGCCAGACATGTTTGATAATGAGGAGTATGTGGGTGTTGATAACGGGGAATGTACATGCTAGTACCACCTCATCAGCAAACTAACAATGCACATGCATAGGCTGCTAACAGTACTCATCTAGAACCTTTTGCTAATGCTGATGCAAATGATGATGATGGTGGTGCTGCTAAAGGAGGTGTTCCTCTTGAGGCAAAGGTTGATGATGTAGATCCACAAGAGGTCTATGTGATTCATGATCCAGAAAACCCCAAGTTTGTCAAGGAGGGTCAAGCTTCTCGATATTGTGGCATTCAAGAAGGCAATTTGGCATTATGCAGTGAAGAAAGGCTTTGAGTTTGCTGGTCTGCAAACCGACAAGACAAGATTTATTGCCAAGTGTAAAGCAGAGGGAAGTCCTTAGCGCATTCATGTTGCTAGGATTTTTTATGGCAAGACAATAAAGGTAAAATTGTCATTACTGTCACAGATATTTTTGTATTAAAATTGTGTCAAGCTTCTAGGTTTTTGTGCAATTGATACCTTATTTTACTTGTGTATGTAGATCAAAAGACTTCCTGCAGAGCACAACTGTGGCAGAACCGCCCTCGGCCAAGCCTAGGTGGCCCGACCGACCTAGCGTGTGGCACGACTAGCCACGCGGGACGCGGTCATGGGCGCGGCGCGGGGTGGCCACGCGGTGACCGCGCGCACGGCGCCAACCATCCCGAGACATGTGACGCGCCCGAATTTTAAAGCACCCCAAATGACTAAACGGTTGCTCTAGGAGCCAAACCATCTTCACCATACTCAAGATGGCATATGAGACTACAAATCGAGCTATAACACTACACCACCCTTTAACCCGATCTCTCAAAATAATTTGCTAAACATAACAATGTCTAGCTGTTGACAACTTGGAAATTTTCTAAGTTTTGAGTTGAATTTGATTTCAACTTGCGATTTATAAGCTAGTGGAAATATTAGCTAGTAATATCATTTTTCAACAGCAAGCATTTTATTGTCATCTATAAAGTTTGCACTTCCAACTTTATTTAAGTATCACACATAAGTTCTATAGTATTTTTGCTTAATAAAAATTGATTTTAAACCCTACTTGATATGCATGAACTATCGAATCAACTTTTGTTTAGCATTTTTATTGATCATTTTGAGTTACAAAAATTGATCTACACACTGTATCACATACATTAACACATAAACATGATGCTTATGATATGTTTTAATAATTGATTTGGGGTGTAACACCGAGGGTGTTACAACAACTGTCCTACCATAAAGCTCAGAGAAGGGAAGATGGCCAGTCAAGGTTAGTGTGCAGATAGGTTGGTAGACTAGCTGAAGAAGAATCCAACCAAAGGTGCAACTGACTACAAAGACAAATTGGAGGTGGACTATGGCATCAAGTTGAAGTACTCCAAGGCATGGTCAGGTATGAAGTGTGCATTAGAGCAGATCCATGGTAGATATGAGGAGAGTTTTCAGCTGCTTTTTAATTGGGCTGCTGAAATTCAGAAAGTGTCCCTTAGTAGCTTAGTATAGATAGAATTAGAGAAAGTTGGTAAGAAGAACAGGTTCAAGAGAATATTTGTTGCTCTTAGACCATGTGTTGATGGATTCCTAGCGAGGTGCAGACCTTTTTATTAGGGTAGATGCTTCCTGTTTGCATGGTAAATATAGAGGTCAATTAGCTTCAACTACTGGTGTTGATAGACACAACTGGCTGTACCATATAGCTTATGCAATTTTTGAGTTAGAAACTGAAGATAATTGAAAATGGTTTCTGCAGCAGCTGTGACAGAACCACCTAATTTATACAAGATCAAGTACGGCTGCCCTTATTTAATACGTTGACACGCATATACTTTCACTTATGTAAACTCGGTAGTCCGCTGAGTGTTACGAAGGACCTCGGTAAATCAACATCACAACCAAGATCGCACGATTAAGCAAATACACATCACATACATAGAGTTGCAGCGGCAATAATATTACAAATGGATGCACAAATAATAGTACAAGTTTAGGTTTCAAAACTGGTTAAGGGAAAACAACATAGCTTTCAAATGATTACATTAATATAAGTTTCAAATACATTGCTAGCATAAGTGACATCCTCTGATAGAAGCATATAGATAAGAAATAAATATAGAGTCACTTTGAGCCCACACCCATGTTAGCCACCATCTTCCTCAACCCGAGAATTTCACCTACAACATGGTGGGATAAATCCACGAGTACTTTCGAATGTACTCACTAGACTTACCCATCATAAACCAAAAATAAAGTGACACCAAGGATTATGCAAGACTTTATAAGTGGAGCTAGCTTGACAATATTTTGCATAAAAAGCACTAATTTAGCTACACATTTTATAATTCACCATCAAGTTAATTATAGCTATTCATCTCTAGATTAGCAACTAACCTTTATAAACATGTGGTATAACATTTAGTAGCATAACAATAGTAACCATAGCCATGTGTCGATTTTCATATTCATCGAAACCATCATATTCCATAATCCAATTACTACGATGTTGGGACTAGCCAAGTTTCTCACCGTCCGTGAGAGACGATTTATTCAATCGATTTCAACCACCGAAATTTATTCCTAACACAAACCCGGACATACCTACACGCTTAAGGTAGTCTTAGGTCACCTTTGGTACAACTCAGTCCACATTTCACGGGTTTGACTAGCGCCAAGACAATTAGGGACAACAAGCTGCCAGACGATCGGGACTACCACGCCTTGGGCACACATCTAGCTCCCCGCATATCCTTACTACCATCTAGAGTGCACACTTTTACAGAATGGGACCTGACCTGAGTTGAGCTACTCGGCTTCATGGTCGGAACGAGTTATCCGGCCAGCTAAGTGAGAGGCATGCGTTCAATCTCGA